AAAGGCGCCGCCGCCGGAGACAGGTGTAGAAGACCCGCAGCGCCCGGCGCGCTCCGCTCTCCCCGACTCCCAGCCAGTCGGCGGCGCCCTATCCCGCCGCCCGCGCCGAGGCGCCCCGGCCCAGGACCCGCCCGGTGACCGCAGGAGCCTCCCCGCCGCCGCCGAGACCCCCTCGCTGACCTCCCGCCCCGCCCGGTCCTGCTTCCTCCCCACCCAGGTGAGGTCGCGGGCCTGTGCGCCACCGCAGGCTGCAGACTGCCGGGGGCCGTGGGACCCGGGCGGGAAAGCCCCGCGGGACGGCCTGGGGCCATGGGGCGGCCTGGGACCGTGGGACCCGGCGAGGGCGCCCGGCCACAATGGTCCGGGACAGCCAGATCCCGCGAGGCGTTTTCTGGAGGCCGAACCCGAAAGCGCCGAAGCCGCGGCGCAGTCCCTGCCCCGGCAGTCGCGACCGCTGACTTGGGGCGGGAGGCAGGTGGCCAGGGCGAACTTCTGGAGCGGGCTCGGACTTTCTACCCAGGCTCCGAAGTGGGGCTCGGCCGGTGGGGAGGCGGAGGGGACGCGGCGGTACCGCCCCGGAGCTGGAAGGGGTCGGCTGCCAAGCGCGGGGCGGGGAGGGAGCGCGCTGACCCGACCGCGGCGCGATCGTGGCGGGGTCGCCGGCGTTCCCTCGGGGTGGCTCTCGCGCTGTCGCCTGGCTGCCTTATCGACCGCCACCCGAAGTTTTACACTGACCGAAAACTTAGCTTAAACAGAAAGCTCGGTTTCGTTGGCTAAGCAGGAAGCCTCCGCCGAAGTCATCTGACCTTTAGCTCCTCTCGCCGCCTCGGCAGAGCGCGCTCGGGTCGGGGCCGAGGTCCGGGCCGGGGCCGGGCGGAGGTTATCTAGAACTCCCGCGCAACGCAGCTCCCGGGAGCTTGGAGACCCGAGCCCAGACCTGAGCCAAGATTTTGTTGCTTCTCTTTTTCCCTGAGCTCTTCAGGAGCGTTTGCTTCCCGGCGTCGCCCTCCAGCTGGAAGGAAAGGTTTTAGGACACTTGTTCGCGAATGAGGTGGTGCGCACCTGAGGACCCGGTGCTTCGGGACGGTTGCGTCAGCCTGGCGACGTCGGGTCGCTGGCGGCCGCGCTAAGCCGGAACCGCGTGCATCTTCCAGCATTCTAGCTCTGGACACGATGACCCTTTACCTGGGACTGTCTTTGAGAGGTGTGGGACAGCTATGTCCTCCTGTGCCCTTCGTATCCGTTTCGAAACTACTTATCAGTCTGTCACAACCACAGGCACCTGTAGGGGGCTGGGGGTCGGGCTGCACGTGGATAGCTAGTCCAGATAAAGCATGGATCACTGAAAGGTTAAAAGGTTAGGGGTAAAGAACTCCTTTTGCCTTTTCTGGAGCTTGGTGGTTCACCAAGTGCCTCCCCAAAGAACTGAACCAGTTTCTCAAGCCAATTTCTCAACTCCCCTCTGGCAGTGCCACTGACAATTGCAGGGTTGCACGGCCCCCCCGGAGGCACCTGCGTGGGACAGCCCCGGGTCCGGTCGGGTCCGAAGGCTGGGAGAGCGTCTCCCCAGTCGATTTGAAAGTTGAAACTGATTTCCTCCTGTTTGCTCACTCTGTCTTAACCTCTTATCCCCATACAATGGGGGAGGGTCCTTTTTTTTTTTCCTCTTATGAGAAATCGCCCCCTGGGGGGGATGGCCAAGCCAGAACCCCTTCTCCTCCATTCTCTCGGGATCTTGGGCTCGCATGCACATGCGCCCAGAGTGAGTTTAAGCCACCGGTCTGGGACTCGACCCTCGGTCGACTACGTGGGAGTCCAGCAACATAGCCATTACGCCAACTGCTGGGCCCGGGAAGGGCCCATTTTTAATTTACTCCTGTACCCCAAAGAGCCCTTAAGACAGATAGCTGTCGCTCAATCTTTAAAAAGAAATATAGAGTTTACTTTGAACTGTGTTTTCCTCAGCTGACGAGGAGGTGTAGGTTTGTGTTTGCTACTGTGGAAAAGGGCAGCCGCACAAGCCCCGCCCTCCCCCACCCCCACCCCAGGTTTTCGGCCAGGTGTGCTGAGTAAACCAGGCGGGAGTTTATTTCAGTGGCTGCCCTGTTTTCCACTTAGGTGCTCCGGAGAACTGGAAAGCCTAATTCCATAGGTGGTTTTCGAATCTGAATGTTATTGTTTCCAGTGATCCTCCTGTTAGACCTTTAGCAGCACTACCCACTCACCTTAGGGGCTCTCAGTCAGTCTGGATTTAAGTGGGTCAGGGCTGAACCAGGACTAAACCTCTGTTGTTTCCAGTGTTTCTCTTCTTCAAGCTGAATGGGACCAAATGTTTCGCACTTGTATTTCGATCTGTCTCACTTTTCATGCCCGTGTCTCTCCTCCCTCCTGTGACTACGGTGGCATTGGGTGGGTCCGTGCAGATCTTGGTGCCTCCAGCAGCAACTGGGTAACCAGTCCCACTTTGGAGTCTGTCAGGAAACAGGAAGCAGCATGCCTCAAATGAGGAGAGCAAGATGCTTTTAAGTAAGAGCAGAAGGAGGATTCACTAGCAGCTTAGGAGTGGAAAAGAGATGACTCATTAGATTGTGGAAAGGGTGGAATCTTGTTTAGAAGAGGGGTTGATTGTGACAGATGGGGTGTAACTGAATTGATGAAGACATTTCATGTCCTGGGATGAAAAGAAGCCTCCTTGGTCATGGATGACCCACCCACAGCTTCTCCACATCCCTTTTCAATAAAGCGTATGCTACCCCAGCAAGCTTTGGTTCCGAAATGCAGTTCTCTGATGGCACTTGATTGGATCATAACTGAGGAATCACTGAGTTTAATTTTCTGTCATTTTTCAAAACGTATCTCTTTAGACACACTCCACGGCTAGCTCCATCGCCTGCTGGTTAAAGCAGCTGGATCCCACATGGCCCACCCTGCAGTGTGAGCCTGGATCCAGTGGCTTGAGACACATACCATGCACTTGTGCATGCATGCCCAGAATCCTGAGGAAGGAGAAAAGGAGGAGAAGGGATTGCAGTGTGACCATTCCCCATAGAGGGAGCTTCCTCTCACTCTGTCCCTCCTTGTCTCTCTTTAGTGAGTGCATATGCCCTCTGGCAAAATTTTAAAAATAAATAAACACTTCTAAGTTAAAACTATATCCCTCAATAACCATGAACAGTTGCTACATTTATCAAAATGGATCTCTTGGACCAATCCATGGCCTGGTGGCTAAGGCGGCTGGATACCACATATGGCCAACTGCATAGTCTGAGTCTTGGAACTGGTAGCTTGAAAAACACACGGGGCGCAGATGTGTGTGCCCAAAATCCTGAAAGGGGGAAGAAAGTGTTGTAGTATGACTATTTACTATGGTGAGGCCGGGGGGCTTTCTTTCTTTCCTGTTCTCTCTCTTTGTCTGTGTCTTTCTCCAGGAAGCATATGAGCCCTCAAACAAATTTAAAAAAATAAATAAAAAGATGTCTCTAAGCACCAATGGGGCAGTCAATCCCAGCATGACAATGAGGACATTGATGGCATCAACCCATACAAACCAAAATAAACCCAAAAATCCATGGCCATAGTGACTGGCTCCATAGAGAAACCATTTCTAACTTTCTCCTTTCAGATAGAAAGAACAAGGTGTTTTGTGAAATTTTACCTTGGGGTGCCTCAAATGTAAACTTAACAATGGGTAACAACCATTCCACTGCTGTCTCCTAAGTCCGTGAAAATCAACTGAAATATTTTAAGTGACTCTCCAGGGAGACTTCATACAATGCTGGATTCAGCAGACTTCTGTAAATTTACTTCTTAGCCTGTACTGGGCCTCTTGGCCTTTCAGGCAGGATTGGCCCAAGCTAGCTTCAGTCTAGTACTAGAGTCCAAACCCTGAGGCTAGCAGTAGGGCTGACTGTTGCAAGCTGAGTAACCACTGGGTAGGCGAGACTCAGTGTCTGCCGGGGATTCAATGGATTCAGGCAGAACTAGTTGGCTCCTTTAAGTTAAGAAGTACTTTGCTCGTGGCACTCCTCCACACCCCAGATTTTACCATGCGTGAAAGATGAGGTAAATTACTCAATTGAACAAGCTATTCTCTATTAAAGGACACATAAAAACATGTCCGGGATGGTTTGAGAGCTATACATCTAATCCTATGGCAAACGAAGTTCGTTTTGTTTTCATCTCTCTCTCTCTCTCTCTCTCTCTCTTTCTCTCTCTCTCTCCCGCAAGCACACGCACCCTATAGCAAAAA